GAATAGCAGCTTCCCATTAGTTTCTATGGACGGAAAAGAGCAGATACGGATCAAATGGTTTTCAATGCATTCCTATGGGAAATGCAGATTTGACCTGAGAACTTTTTGACTTGAGAACCGCCTTCCAATACGGATTAAGTTCTCAAGTCAAGACCCCACTGTATTCCCTAAAGCACTCTTGACATGTTTCTGGTTACTTTCAGTCAAATAACCCTGGCAAATTTGAGCTATTGGGAGTTGTTCTTGTTGTTCTGGGTTCTCTGCTATAGCACTAACTGTGGTTGCTATGGCGCCCACTTCATCTGCTCCTGTGAGTTCCTCATTCTGCTCTACGCAATCTACCTCCTTAGGCAAATTCAAATTCTCTTTTTGTTGCCCAAAATCTCTATTCTGAACGCATAGGGATGTAAAGTGGCCTTGTTCTCCACTAGCAAAACATATAGAAGCTTTTCTTTCAAAACTTGGAGATTTATCTCCCTTTCCTTCACAGTTTTTTAGTCTCTGCTGACTATGCTCTGAGGGCTTGCCCTTAAAATGGCTTCCAACAGTCGGTTGGGCTCTGAGGTACATTTTAGGTTCCATCTTTCTGTCATCCCACTCTTTCTCTTCAAATTTTACCTCAGAATAATTTGAGTTCTGTACTACTTTTATATATTCAGCTGGTTTGGATAGATTCCCTTCAGGATGGGATTTCTTATTATTCTCGTTTTGGATTTTCAATTCTAATTGTTTCATTTTGAACTTGTGTTCCATCTGCTTTTCCCTCATGGCCATTTCTCTTTCTCTGGCTTCTGCCTCTGCCCTCATCTTTTCCATGGCTAATTGTCTGGCTTCAGCTCTTTCCTTTGCTTCTAGCTCAGCCCTCATCTTTTCTCTTTCTTGCTCTATGGCCAATTTTCTGGCTTCAGCCCTTTCTTTTGCTTCTAACTCAGCCTGTCGTAGCTGAAATTCCCTTTCCCATTTCCACTTTAGAAACTCCTGGGAGATTAAAGTAGCTTCTCCTTCTCCTCCTCCCTTTGAAGCATCCTCCTCCTCCTGAGTAGCATCCTCCTGCTCAGCTACCTCAAGAGTACTTTCCTCTTCGTGAGGTATCCCCTGTCCTTCAGGAACCTCCATTATTAACTTCTTCCCTCTCTTAGGAGGCATGGCTTATTTGTTTTCTGGCAGAATCAAAACACAAGCCTTGTTTTTAAAAAGGACCTAAATTTTCTTTTTCTCTGTGCTAGGGAGAGAGAACCTGCTCTAGGCTTGCTTCGCTACTTTGTTATTCCAGGCATCCTGCCTGAGCTCCTTGTGGGATACACTGTTTCTTTTTTTTTTGGCTTTCAGCCACACACTTATTACTGTTTATTTTTCAGTTTCCAAGCTTCTCTGCTTGTTCTTGTTCCCCTCAGACCTGTTTGACCCTGGCTTCCGCTTCTTGTCCTCTCAGCACTCTCTTCTTAGAGCCTAGCACCCCAAAGCTAGCTCACTCTGGTCTTTCACAATCTTGAGGTAAACCTTAAACTGTTGATTTTTCCCTCAGAGCATCCCCTTTTCTGTAGTCCTTTCCTGGTCTGCCTCAGGAGTCCCTTTTAAGCTTTTCACCAAGCTACTTCCAAGGGTCCCACTCCTGCCCTTGCAGCACCAGAGTACTAGGTTCCCTAAGCTCAGGAAATTCACGTTTTTCTTTGGTTTACTGGAATCTTTTTGGATCACTGGATTGTCTTTCGATCCCACTTCCGCTGCCACCACTTGTGGCGATCCCCCTTTGTGCCCTTTATATCTTTGGGCTCTACAAAATCATAAGGAGGATTAAATATATAACTGTTTCATGTATTTATTCATTGGTGTTTCTCTTGTCCCAACTCCCAACTGTCATTCTGATTCCGCCCCTCCTGCTCTGTCCTCTGATTGACATGCAGGAATGACATCATCTTTTGAGTTCCGCTACACTTGCCTCCCGGCTCGCCTTCCACTTGCTCCATGCCACCCTCCGTGAGCTGATGGCGGGAAATTCAAATGGCGGAGGGTGGCGAGGAGCGAGCAGGAGGCAAGCAGCCGAAGAAACCCGGCCAGCTCAAGCCTCCTGGTGCTGGGCGACTGCTGCCTCCAACTCGGCCAGGGGAGAGCAGCCGTAGAAACCCAGCCAGCTCAAACCTCCCGGCCCTGGGCGATCGCTGCCTCCGGCACCCCTGCCGCTGCCGCCAGAGCACCCAGGAAGCTCAAGCCTCCTGGCTCTGGGTCACCTCCACCCCCACTGCCCCTGCTAGAGCACCCAGGAGGCTCAAGCCTCCTGGCTCTGGGCTATCCCCACTGCATCCCTTTCCCTAACTGTTGGGGTGATAGAGCTACAAAGAAGCAGCCTCTTTGCCACCAACAATTAGTACAGTAAATTCAAATTTCCCGCCCTTTCCCTCTGCTTTTTTGTGTTCGTAAGTCGAAGCTCCGTTCGCAAGTCGAAGCAAAATTGTGCAAACGGAGCAGTTTGTAAGTCGAAATGTTCATAGCTAGGGACGTTTATAAGTTGAGGTTCCACTGTACATAAATTACAGCTTTCCCATGCACATGTAGAACATTTGGTATGCAATATGTGACGTTTCCCTAAATCTAGCTAGAGTTTTAAAGTGTAATGAAGTTATTGCTCATTGTTTAGCAAGTATTGTAATAAAACAGTGGGTCCTTGTCTTTGATCCAGTAGAAACATCATAGCCCTTGAAGTCCTCATGCTTGTTCTGCAGCCTACTGAGCCACAGGATGGTCCAAATACCTTTTTTCCATTGTCTAGCTTGGAGCTGTGGCATGGGGATTAGGTAGCTCATTTCCTATTGTGATGCCAACAAAGGAAGAGTGGTCTTAATTAAGATTGCTGTGCCACAGTTATAGGAAAAGCTTTGCACTCTCTTTCCCAGTGATCCTTATGCAGATTGTTCTTTCTCAGCTGCTGTTAATAAATAGTAAATGATGTCAGGACTGCTCATATATATATATGAATCTCTCTCTCTCTGTTTGTGCATGTGCTGAGCCACCATTACCCAACCCTGAAGGCTGAAAAAGTGATTAAAGAATGTTTTGTTATTAATTACTAGTAGTGCTTTGTAATTAATCTTTTATTCTTTTGATCATTAGAGATGATGAGAGTTTGGAGCAAAAGAGTTCTTACCTTGCCCAAAAGAGGATTAAACATGGCATTCCTCCAGTGTCCCCCAATGCTTGTATCAGAGACACTGTGGCTGCTGAAGTGTTTGATCATGTTTGGAAAAATGTAATTCGGGTACTGGAAGAATTAATAAGGAAACACTGGGAATCATCTGTTATAGGTAGGTGGAATGTTTATAGAAACATTTGAAGACATGTTCATGGTTTGTTTAGATGTGGTTTATTTGTATAGTTTATGGATGTTATACCATTGTTTCTTTTTGGGTATTACACCACCTTTGATTTTTGAGAAACCTTCACATCCCCATCTTCCCTTTATTCTCAGTTTCAAAAATAAGCACAAATACTATTATACTTCCTTTTCTAACATATGGCCATATTTTATATATATATAAATTTAGGTCCTTATATATATTTTTTTGAATAGGGTCTCTAGTTAGGCCTTTGTTCCTGTGGTACTGATAGTTTTTGTACTGTATATTGGCGTTCTTCTAGCTTTGCATTCTCATGTCCTCCTGGTCTACTTGCTCCTTAGTTAGCTATGTTGCTGCCTCTTGAAACCTCTTCTATGATTGTTGTCACTGCCTCTGCTGCAGCTTCCTAGCATCTTCTTTTTCTGTTTTTCTTTTCCTTTCCTGCTGTTGCAAGTACTTACATTGGTCCTTTCTGGTCTCCATGCTCCCTATCCTGTCACTGCCTCTTGATGCTGTGGAAGGGTCACAGTACAAAATCCTCCCCTGCACCATAACATACAGTACTGGGTATTTCTGAAAGGAATTTTTATTTTCAAAGGCTACATTTCAGGTAGGAAAAGGAAGCACAACTAAGTGGAACACAACACAGAACAAAAAACCAAAGCCTAAACAAAATGGAGTTGAGGAAAGACAAAAAGTTATGGGAAATTGGCCAAATTCCCACACCATTTGAATGGTGGGAGAAAAACTAGGAACTTTAGAGACCAATCAGGTATGTTTTGTGGAACACATACCACATCTGGATGAACACTCAAATTAATGGATAAAACTGGTAAGTTACTGTGGATGCTTACTACTGCTAACTAGTTGAATGATTTTTTTCAAGTATTCCCCTGCCACCAATATACTGTCATTGTTAGAATTAACAGCAATCCAGCAGTGCTGTGTAAGGTTTTGAATCCTCCAGAACTGTTCATCCAGGTAGGTGGAAAAATAAAATAAAGCAGAGTATTGTGGAATTATAGTTCATCCTAAAATTTCTGTTCCCTTATGGATGTTAGACTTTGTTTTGTTCGCGCTGCCCCTGTTTTTGTTTGTTTGTTTGTTTTTAATTAGGACAAAGTCAGATGGTTCAAAAGAGAAGATGCCCAAGTTCCTTGAAATGTCTTTTCAGGCATGAGGTGGGAGGGATGCAAAGTCTTATTTTCAGCCTGATGATCCATTGTGAAATGGAAAGGCATTGCTTTTTGTTTTTAATCAATCATGTTAGGACCTAACTGGATCACCAGTTAAAAATATTTGATTATGTTGACTTTAGTAAACTTTAGTGGATGTTGGACTGGGATTAAGGAGATACAGGTCTGAGTACTGTCCGTGCCTTGAAATCTAGGGTATGACTACATAGCAGGGAAAATGCAGATGGATCTGCTGCAAAGTCACACCTAAGAAACCAGCCTTATTTGCAGCATGTTAGCTATTTGAATGATCTCCCTTCCCTTCCCTTCCCTCTTCTTTTAAGGCTTGCTGTCTTACCTCTAGGATAGCAAGGTTTCAAAAGGGAGGAGGGCAAGGAATTGGCAAAAGTGTTTTGAAGTGTTAGTCTGTGCAAGCAGATCAACAAAAAATACAACACAATACAAAAATAAAAAAACCATAAAATAAAGGAGAGAAAGATGTGGCATTTTAAAGACCAACTGCTACATTTTACTGTGAGCATTCATGGAACAAGTCCACTTCTTCAGATGACAGAAAAAATACAGAGACTACATAGCAAAACATTAATATGGAGCTCTAAGATAAAAAGGATAGTGGTGGTTGATAGCCTCAAGTTGCATTTCACACTAAGTAATGATTTATGAGCCCTGTTTGGTACTCAGTTCTTTTATTTTGAAGTTTTGTTCTGTAAATCCTAACAATGATTAGTGGCTAAAGAAAAGAAGAGCAGAAACAACATGTGGCAATGAGTCAAGGATCACTGAATTTATCTTTGTACCTACTGTAAAGAGGGCTGTTGTTAGTTGGGAAGGAAAATGAGAATAGATAACAATGGATTAAATATCAATATCTGTTTAAGCCATTACCAAATGTGAAATGCTACAACGATTACAATTGTTATCTGATGTCATTTTCTTTCTTGTATTATAGCTCTTCCCCAGGTCAAGCCATTACCAAATGTGAAATACTACAATGATTACAATTGTCATCTGATGTCATTTTCCTTCTTGTATTATACCTCTTCCCCAGGTCAGCTGTCTTTCTAAGTTCCTAAGTCATCACATTAATCTTGGCCTTTAGAGGCCAAAGTGAATTCTGTGATTCGTATAACTAGACTATTTGAATGCATGCATATGAATATTACGAAATTACCATTTCTTGGCATACAGGCATTCTCTTATATTTTCTTTCACTTCCTTGCTCTTCCTGTGTGGAATGTCTAAGCACCTATCCCCCAGTTTGGGAAACAGTAGTTTAGAGATTTTGCTCATTGTAAATGTGCTTCAAAAATGTGTACAGTAGGACCCTTTATTTCTGCAATCGGCATCCATGGTTTCATTTATTTATTTGATTTATACCCTGCCCATCTGGTCTAAAAGACCACTCTTTTTATTTATTTATCCAGATCTGAAAATATTTAAAATATTAAATGAAAAAAATTAAGAAATATGTACCATATTTTTTCGTGTATAAAATGATACTTTTTAACTTAAATAATTAGGGGAAAAAATGAGGGTCGTTTTATACACGGAAGGCAGCCACTTTCCCTGTCTTTTGCGAAGCCACAGAGTAAAGCAGCCGTGAAAGGGCTTAAGGACCAAAGGGGTGCAGTCATGCACATTTTCTCATTTTCTAATTTGGTGGTTAGAAAAGGGGGGTCGTCTTATACATTGGGTCACCTTATAAATAGAAAAATACTGTACAGTAATTTGCCAATATCCTGAAGTTGCTCATTTATTAATCCACTTCACAATATTGCCAGAAGCCATTTCTGTGTAAACAGTCAGACTTGATTAGATCGTTCTAATCAAGCCTGACTGTTCCCAATTGGCCCAGGCTGGCTCACTCCATGCTACTAGTGTAGCTGTACCTCGGCATCCATGGTTTCATTTATTTATTTGATTTATACCCTGCCCATCTGGTCTAAAAGACCACTCTTTTTATTTATTTATCCAGATCTGAAAATATTTAAAATATTAAATGAAAAAAATTAAGAAATATGTACCATATTTTTTCGTGTATAAAATGATACTTTTTAACTTAAATAATTAGGGGAAAAAATGAGGGTCGTTTTATACACGGAAGGCAGCCACTTTCCCTGTCTTTTGCGAAGCCACAGGGTAAAGCAGCCATGAAAGGACTTCAGAACCAAAGGAGTGTGATCATGCAGATAGAAAATTTGGGGGTTTGAAGGGGGGGGGGTCGTCTTACACATTGGGTCATCCTATAAACAGAAAAAGATGGTATTTCCACGATGTAATTACCAGAACTGGCCACTAGAGGGAATCAGAGGT